CATCGAAAGGCCGTCGTTTTATGTGACCAAATCATCTAAAGCAAATCTCTCTAATACTATGTTGCACTGATACACCTATTTATGAAGGCATGTTGTATCAGATATACCGATACATGGATACGTCTCTGATACGGCATCGATACGTGTTGGATACGGCAAAGTCATATCTAATTAAAATACTATTTAATTTTAAAAGGACAAGCATATCCGATATGCGTGTACGTTGTAAAACAAATAATAATAATAATAATAATAATAATAATAAGATGTGTTGTATTTACTTCCGCGCCAGCATGCAAGGTTCTCTCATTTCCGAGATGCATTTGGGTCTCTTGATGATATGGGAATATTAGAAATTGCTAATATTTTATTTGATGAGCCTGAATTAGAAGCTATGATATTTATTGAAGATGATATAGAAGTTCAAAGACAAACCACTGAAGAAGCTAATCATATCATTCCTTCTATTGAATATTTGAAACTTCGTGACAATTTAATTTTATACTTTTGTTATTGTACTAGACATTTAATGCTTACTTTTTGTCACGACCCGGCCCGAATACTCTATTTAACAAGGCAGGAACTGAAAGTCTGACGATATTACAATTTCATCACTTAAAAAAAACACATTAACATAAACTTCTCAACAACTGAAGAGCCATTAATCACAAAAAAAACTTTAATCAATCTAGAATCAAACTAAACATTTTCATCAGTTATTTTACCTATTGTCATTTGCACGTCATCTTCTATAGAAGAATTCTTCTCTTTCATCCAGTTTCTACTCAACACAAGGGTGTTTTGCATTTTCTTCCATAAAGAGCCTCATAAGGTGTCATTCTAATATTAGATAAAAAATTATTATTGTATGCAAATTCAATCAACGGTATGTGAGTCTCCCAATTTCCTCCAAAATATAAAACAAATAATCTCAAAAAAATCCTCTAAAGTCTGAATTGTTCTTTCTGATTACCCATCTGTCTGAGGATGAAATGATGTACTGAAAGTCAATCGTGTGCCCATAGCTTCTTGAATTTTTTTTCACAATTTAGAAGTGAAACGAGTATTTATGTCTGAAACTATAGATTTTGAAATTCCATGCAATCTCACAATTTCATCAACATATAGTTTTGTCAGCTTCTCCACTGAATATGTCTGCCTGATTGATAAGAAATGAGCTGATTTGGTTAATCTGTCAATAACAACCCATATAGCATCTATACTCTGCCTTAACCTGGGTAATCCAATCACAAAATTCATTGCAATGTCCTCCCATTTCCACTCAGTTATAGGTAAGGGTTGTAGTTGACCACTTGGCTTTTGATGTTCTGCTTTGATCATCTTACAGAGAATACATTTTGTTACAAATTCTGCAACATTTCTCTTTAGTCCTGACCACCAAAATAACTCTCGCAATTCCTGATACATCTTTGCACTGTCTGGATGAATTTCATATGTTGAGAGGTGAGCTTCCTGCAATATCTCTTCTCTTAAGCTTCCAACATTTGGAATACAAATCATGTCTTTATACTTTAATAATCATTCTCCATCCATAACAAAGTTTTCTAATTGTCCTGCTTGCACTTTCTTTATGATGTCCTGAAATTTTTCATCTTGAGGCAATGTATTAAGCACTTAATTCTTCAAAGTAGATTGAATAAGCAGCTGATTTCAGAATATAACTTTAGTCTCTTTCTGATTGACCACTGAAATCTCTAACTTTTCCATATCTTTGATTATCTGCTCATGCTTGGTGATTAACCAATTTGCATTTCCAAGAGTTTTTCTGCTAAGTGCATCTGCAACCACATTTTTCTTTTTAGGATGATACTGTATGTCCAAGTCATAATCCTTAATGAGCTCTAACCACCTTCTTTGTCTAAAATTAAGTTTTTTTATTGAAAATGTATTTGAGACTCTTATGGTCTGTAGACACTTCGCATCGGGCCCCATATCGGTAATGTCTCCATATTTTGAGTGGAAAAACTACAGCTGTCAATTCTAAATCATGAGTGTGATAGTTCCTTTCATGAATTTTTAGTTTCCTTGAAGCATAAACCAACACTCTACCATGCTACATCAATACACATCCAAGTCCTCTTAATGAAGCATCACAAAAAATTTGGAACCCTTCTGAATCTGATGGAAATGTCAAAATCGGGGCAGCCATTAAATATTTTTTAAATTTTTGGAAAACTCCTTCACACTGATCACTCCATTCAAATTTCACTGCTTTTTGTATTAATCTGGATAACGGCATTGTAATATGAGATAATCTCTCTACAAATCTTTTAAAATAACCAGCAAGACCCAGAAAACTCCTCACCTCTGAAACTGTCGTTGGCCTTAGCCAATCAGTAATAGCTTGAATTTTATTCTAATCAATTGAAATACCTTCACCGCTGATCACATGTACAAGGAAAGTTACAATGTTCAACCAAAATTCACACTTTGAAAATTTAGCATATAACTAGTTCTCATTAAGTGTTTGCAACACAGCCTGCAAATGACTAGAATGATTTTCTTCATCTCTTGAATAAATCAGGATATCATCAATAACCACGATTACAAATATGTCCAGAAATGGCTTAAAAATTATATTCATCAAATCTATAAATACAGCTAGTGTATTTGTCACTCCAAAATGCATCACTACAAACTCATAGTGATCATATCTGGTTTTGAAAGCTATCTTTGTTATATCTCCCTCCTTAATCCGTGGTTGATGGTATCCAGATCTCAAATCTATCTTAGAGAACACTGTAGCTCCTTCCAGTTGGTCAAAAAGATCATCTATTCTGGGCAAATGATATTTATTCTTAACTGTAAGCTTATTCAATTCTCTGTAATCTATGCACATTCTAAAGCTTCCATCTTTCTTCTTTATAAACAGTATTGGAGCTCCCCATGATGAGGAACTTGGTCTGATAAACCCCTTATCTAGCAATTCTTGTAACTGACTTTTTAGCTCCTGTAACTCTTTGACTATCATCCAGTAAGGTGCCCTTGCAGCAAGTTCTGAATTCGGTATCAACTCAATAGTAAAATCTTTTTCTCTTTCTGATGGTAATCCTGACAAATCTTCCAAAAATACTTATAGATATTCTTTGATTACATGTATATCTTTCAATTCTTTAATTTCCTTATTTGTATCCTTTACTTGAGCAAGAAAATACTGACATCCCTTGGATACAAATTTGTATGCTTTCATATACCATTCCCAAAATTATGTCAAACTCTCGTAATGGCAAAACATTTACTGTTACTTCAAATTCCTTTTCATTTATTTTGAAAGTCACTTGACAAATACCATTTACATTCATAATAGATTCATTTGGCATTAAAACTTCCAAAATTACACTTGTCTCATAAATATCCAGCCCAACTGATTTAACAAATTTCTCTGAAATGAAAGAGCGCGAAGCTCCTGTATCAAAAAGAATCTATACAGGCTTTCCTTGCATCATTATCATACCTGTAATTACTTCAGGTGAATTCCCCAAGCCCTTCGTGAGAATTCGGTCATCCGCCCTCTGTCTGTTTCGCGCAAAACGCACAGTACCGACCCCTATTTGGGGTCGCGGCTGTTAATAGACCGGTTGGCCGGTTCGGTTGAACCGGCCACCCAACCGACTATTACACTTTTATTTTGATATTATAAGCTACAAGGCTACAAATGATGTTGCTTTCTTTTTTTTTTTGTAATTTCAAATATTATGCTTTGATTTGCTTTCTTAATTTTATGTACGATTTATAAATTATAATGTTGTGTCCGCGTCGTACCCATATCCTATATTTTTTAGAATTGACGTGTCCCGTAATTCAGCCACCGACCATTAATCCAACAGTTTAAAATCTTCCTGGATGAGCTATTGCTATTTCCCTATCTTTGTTCAACATAACCTCTTCCAATTTAGCCAACTTCATGCCTCAAAATATGCAGAGAATGGAAGAAAGATAAATTAACTAATAATCAATCAATATTAAAGATAAGTTGATCTTACGAGAATATTATGCAATGACTAAGCAGGTGGAGCTTGTAAGACTACTTCCATGACGAAACAGTAACATAGAATTTCTCCCATTTCAAAGATTAAGGCTTCATTTGGGACTTACTATTTTCTAAAGCAAATTTTTAGTATAAAAATTTCTTGAATCAAAAATTTTTGTATGAGAAAACTGCTCTAAAAACTAATAAGAAAGTTGTCTCAAACGAAGCCTACAATAACAACTTGTTTTTAGCCCCCCAACATCTCTAAAATATGTTGCCGACATTGCTACAAAATTATCCTAAAGAACTTTGGTACAGCTCCACTCTTTATCACTGTGATGCCTGCTAGAACAAAAGAGTATCTAAGGTTACTTATTTTAAATGGAAACTCATTATAAGAGCATTGATGCAAGAAGATGACGAGCTACAGGATGTCTAAAATCTCCTTTCTTAAATGATAAGCTATTTACTAAAACGGGATGATTTCAATGGGGATAACATGCTACACCATCATACAAAACCTGGGAAAGGAAAATAAACCTTTTCCAAACTTAAATTGTGACGATTCACCCAATCAGATTTCAACCAAACCACATTCCAGACTATTGTTCAATTCTAACAGTTTAAAACTTAAATAAATCAGACACAGGTAGCTGCAGGTTTAAAACAGCTTATCTCAATCAATCATATTTCTTTCGCCAGAATCATGCTAATAAATTATATTTCAAAAGCTATAATTCCCTCCTTCCCCCCTTTCCGAAATTGCAGCTGCATATACTAAATCCACGGATTCCACAACACATAACGCCTCCCCATTTCCCGCGCACACAAACCGCAATCCAACCCTTAAAACGGCACTGTGACTCCAGGGATAAACCCTAAAGAAACACTTCCAGAATCCACGGACGAAATTGACAGGTCAGATATCAAGTCTCCAAAGAAATAATGGAGTACATGAACAACCAGAGGATTGTAGAAGAAAGGAGACTTCCAGTCAAAAAATGACAACCTTCTAACAAGTCCGTATGTTCGAAACTCGTTCGAAAGCTCCAATTCTCTGATTCTAGAGCTCAAGTTCCCAACGTAGATCTTCCACATCTCTGCCAAGAAAAATGAGCAAGGTGAATCGGGCAGGGATCGACGGAGCGGTACTCCGGTCGTCCGCTCTTTCAGATTTTCGTTTTCCGTAATCACCGTGTATGAAGCAATGATTTGTTTAGCCAATTGGTTCCACGAAATAGGCCCGATGAATTGTTGATCGGAATCAGCGCTGAGAAGGGGCCGTTTGGCTCGGCGTTATTTAGATAATTTTGCACCTTTATCTAATAATATAATATTATTTTATTTGCTGCCGCTTAATAAAATTTAATAATTAACAATTTCAGCGTTGTAATCCTAAATTAGGGTGTCAATTCGGATCAACCGGTTGGGTTCGGGTCCAACCTGAGTTGACCCAAGCATAAACGGTTTGATCCGAACACGACCCGTTTAGCTTGACGGGTCAGGAAATACAACCCAGACCTGACACATTCTGGTTGTCGGGTTGACCCAACCTGACCTGCGAACCCGAACCGATCTGGATTTCCTGAACCCGAGCTTTCGCATGTTGAGTTGGGCTGCGTAGGGCTTGGGCCTGGGCGAACGCATGTGATGGCCGGCGGGGTGAGTCATGTGCGATGGCCGGAGGGCGACGGTGTGAGATGCGTGAGTCGTGCTTGTGCAGGCGCAGGTGGATTTTGCACCATGGAGGAGAGGACCGGCAAACTTGCCTCATGCGGTCGTGCGGGGATGGAAGATGGCAAGCTAAGCCTAGCCTGACGCGAACGACTAGCTAGGGTGTCAGGCGGCAGGCGACATGACCGACGTCCAATCCCTTGATTCCCTCCCACGCGACGTCCAATCCCTCAATTCGCCTCCCACACGCAGGAAAAATTAAAACGGGCGGAGCTATCCCGGGTCAGATTTGACCACATTCGAGTCTTAAACGAGTCAATTTTGGGTTGCCAGGTTGAACCAGACCCGTTCCGTTTTTTAAAACAGGTTGAAAATTGAAATTGAACCAGACCCGTTTATTAAACGGGTCAACCCTAACTCGAACTTCCCTGGTCGGTTTCGGGTCGGGTTATCGGATCGTGTCAATATTTCATACCCCTATCCTAAATGATGAAATTGCCCATATATTAAACTCAAATATATATATTTTTTTGCAAATTACATGAATGAAAATATACATAAAATTTAAAAAAACAAGTTTTTTATTATGGTAGTTTTTGACATTTAATAATAAATACTAGTACATTTAAAATAAATAACTTCTTCATTAATATAAATTAAATTTATATTATTTTATCTCTTCACAGCCTAACATAATCATTAAAAATTCCTTTTTATTTCATCATTGTATCTTCTGCAATATAGCTCAATATATTTCTACAATACGATGTCAAACCTGTCTGAATTTACAATTAAGATTGATTATCCTTTTTGTTCCGCAATTTTTCCAATGCTACACTTGGAAGCATCTACAAATAATTTACATTGAATAAATGTAAAGCTACAATCAAGTTTTATTCCTTCCATCCCATGTGGCCCTTTGTATAAAAGATCATGATTTTGTGTTCATATCCAATTAAAACATTGGATATTTCATTGATTAAGGCTTCGTTTGGGAAGGCTTTTTTATTACTTTCTAAAACGGAATTTTAGTATACAAAAATAAAAAAATTTATACTAAAACTCCGTTTTAGAAAGCAGTAAAAAAGCCGTCCCAAACGAAGCCTAAGGCTTCATTTGGAACGGCTTTCTTATTGCTTTTTAACATGAATTTTTAGTACAAAATTAAAGTTTTTTTATATTAAAAAGCGGCTTTAATAAGCAGAAAGAAAGCCGTCTCAAAAGAAGCCTATTTCTTTGATCTTTATTTCCTCAAACGACATATATTACATCAAATTGAACTACGTTGTATTATATAAGAATGTTGAGACAAATTTCAAATTTTCAACTATACTATCTTACAAACCAACTAATTTGTATAACAATTTGAAGTCCACTTCAATAATGAAATTATATACTTTCTATTGATATTAGCATCTCCAACTTTAGTCATAAATCAGAATAAAGCTTCACAAATACCCTACAAAATCCCTGTACGAAATCATCAAACTGTTGCTATCAAGGAGTTCCATCAAATTTTAAAAAACAAAACATTTTTTAATAGCATATGCACAAAAATTTAATAAGGAGCGATCAACAAAACTTTGATCAGATTTCAAAGGAGATCACCATGAATCAAGGTATTTTTATCTTTAAATGAATTTTTTTTTATAAAAATGATCTTTTTCAAGACCTTCAGTATAAAGTTTATGAAGGAAAAAATAAATTTTTATTTACATAATTCATGAATGGAGAAAAACTATTACATGCATTTAACATTGGCATAATTCAATTAAAATAAATATTCTTTTATTCTTTTATTTGTCCCATCTAGTTCCATCTCGCTAATGTCAAGTCAAGTTTACCACTAATTAAAATTAAAAATAATTTTTCATTAAAGTAATAAAATGATAAGAAATCAAATATCTTCCCATAAATATTATACTAAACAAGTATTGCAATTAGATTGAATTTATTTATTTGATCAATCAAATTGGAGATACAATTGGTGATAATCTAAAAAGAAAATAATTTGTTGCAATAAAAATAGAAAGTAGTTATGGTTGACAATCACATTACTAGGCCTAGGGATTGTATTTCATTAGTTCTTTCAATATACTCAAAGTGATGGTGGAACCTACCTTAATATCAAAAACTTAGGGTCACTAACATCTTTAGAAATCATTCTTATCTATTAATAGGGGATTTAAATAAAAAAAAGGTTTCAATTACACAACATAGGCAATCTATCATATTACATAAGTTCACATAGATATACTTATCTACGATCTATTGTAGTATTTTAACTAACCTCGGTGCCTAGGCACCATACTCATTATTTTGGAGCTTAAAAAGTCTAAATTGAGCCCTAAGTGTCTGGTCATTTAGACTCTAAGTAGTGTGTTAAAGCTCCCCAATCTTTTGAATGCATTATTTTTAATAAATTTGGCTAAATGGATTCTAAATGCTTATTTTGATCATTTTGTTCATAAAATTCACCAAAATCATTTTTACCTACATAAATGATATAGATTTTTTAAATAAAGCACAATATATATGAAAATAAAGATCTAAGTATAGAAAAAATAACATACAATCACATTTTGTAAACACCCTCACATTTAGATCATTGCTTGTCCTCATGTAAAATAAAAGGAAAAAATGAAAAACCTAGTCTTAACACAACGCTCCAATTGGTCAAATCATGACGCTGCATGTTGCAATCTAGGATCCATAGTATGTGATTTTGATGATGACAAACATTATTGATTGAATTATTAATTTTCTCAATGAATGTTTTAGATATTTCTTCTATCTATGAGTAATAACATTGTAGGTAAAATATATACTACTCAAGACTACTGAAAGCTCAAGAATGGGGTAGAATATGAATATCAATTAAACAAAGTATGTAATTTTATTTTTTCTTTATTTTTTATTTCTTGAGTCTAGCCACATAAGAGTGTATGGAATTGGGTGACCATGAACATACACAGGGGTGAGATAAATTTTAAAAGTTAAAATTTTTGTACTAATCATATTATATAATCAATATAGAAAGAATGGGCTTAATGACTAATTGAATAATTAGCTTATGTGAACTAATAGTATTGTATGATTCGTTACGATTTGAAAACCTTAGCTACCGGATGAATTAAGTAAGATTTTCAAATTTTGATTGTTGAACTAATCGTATAGTATGATCTGATTTGAACTGTAAGAACATTTAAAATCTTACTTAAATTAACCCTCATAATTAACCAATCAAATCATGGTTTCATTAATGATTGTATATCGTACTGTATGATATTTATCATACCGTACAATATCTAGAGACAAAATTTGGTCGTCCTAAAGATCGTACCAAATGAAATCATGAGTTTGAACTAATTTTAATGTATAATATTCATATCGTACTGAATGGCCATCTTGAAATCAACTAACCATACTGTATGGTAATAATAATACAGGATGACTTATAGAGATGATTTCTAATCATTTTGATAATCGTCATGTACGAATAAGAGAGAAAATCTAACATATAGTATTGGATGATCTCTAAATTGTAATATACGATTCATTCAAAATGTTGAATAATTCATTTAAACAACTAGTTACATCGTAATGGACGGGTCTAGTTTTTTGAACTGATTGTACTGTACAAACTCAAATTATACTATATGAATAGTATCTACTAATTTGAATTTTTAGGGTTCCTTGAAGCCCAATACATAAGAAAGTTTTTGTGATTCTCTTTGTAATAGTGAGAGGATTGTTTTACGACTGAACGAACTCTAAGAGAGGAGCTTTTGAGAAATTCAGGGTTTGAGAGGAAGGAGAAGGTGAGGTGTAGCATGAGGGAGAAGGAGTGTGAGGGGATCACACGGTTGCTCCGAGCTAGCTACACCCTTATTCTTCTTGTGGCATTGGTTTGTCTTGAAGGCTCTCTTGGGAAAGAGGCTTTTAGGTTAAGTCTTTGAGATACTCTACCTTGTCGAAGAGGAAAAAGAAAGGACCTGAGATTCTCTACCTTCTCTAGGGGGTAAAAAATAAGTCAAGGTCTATTGCCGTCACAGGGAGGGTGACATAGTATCCGGTACTCTGCCGCATCAGGTTTGATGAAAGTGAGACTGTAAGGGCTTCTTCACCTTGATGTGGGAGTAAAAGGAGAGTCACCTATTGATTAGTGTAATGCCCAGAGTGGAGGACTCCTGGGAGAGGACGTAGTTCAAGATTGATCGAATCACTATAAAAATCTATGGTGCATTTTTTTCCTTTATGCACTTTTATTTTTCTTGTATTTTATTTCTATTATAACTATTTGAAAAAATTGATGATTATTGCTTTTTTTTTTTCATAAATCAATATATCATCGTAATTAAATTAATATTTTTGATAAACTCGTTTGCTTCCGCAATCAATTAAAATTTGGTATTTTCAATTTATGAAATTGTTTTAAAAATATTTTAAAAATATTATCATCGGTATTTTGAAGTTGAAAAGTTTCTTAAAATTATCAATTCATCCCCACACCCCCCTCTTGGTGAGCCTCTAGCTAGTTCCTTAAGGTTTAACAACCTTCATGAACTTTCAAGTGGTATCAGAGCTAGTTTCAAAAATAA